GGGTGGCCGATCCAACCGTCGCGGAGGTCGCAACACTAACTGTCACCCCATGCAGCACTATGGCTACCATAGTGCCCATGGCACATCTCAACTCTGGCGCGCACCTTACCGACAACCGTCAATTCTGGGATCCGCTTCAAATCCATCGGGCCACTCATTCCCTCCAGCGGCTCAAGCCTACTTTACTGGACCACCTGAACCCTACACCGGCCACTCGGCTCCTACTCAGGTTCATCCGCAGCAACAACCATGCCACAGCTCTAACAGTTTCATCAACAGTTGCAACAGTTCCTGCAACAGTGCCAACGTGGTGGATCTCGCAAACCATTTGAATACGGCGACACTTCAGCAGCCTACCGAGTCACAGTGGTTCATGGACAGCGTGGCGACCTCTCATATGGCACCACACTCACGTAATTTCAATTTTGTTTTTAATCCTGGCAGTAATTTTCCCAAACATGTCGTCGTCGGTAATGGTTCCACCCTCCCCATAACCCACATAGGCCACACAATTCTTCCCACCACTCATTTCCGCCTCACAAATGTCTATGTCACACCCAATATCGTCAAACACCTTATCTCTGTTCGAAAGTTCACCCGCGATAACTCATGTTCGGTTGAATTTGACCCGTTTGGTTTTTCTGTGAAGGACCTTCGGAGTCGAGTCGATATTTTCAGGTGCAATAGCTCCGGTGACCTATATCCATTTAGCGTCCCTCCCCCCACCTCACCTCCCGCTGCTTTCCTCACTGTCGCAACACCTTCGTCTCGCACTCTTTGGCATCGACGTCCAGGCCATCCCGGCAAACACGTCATCTCTCGTTTATTTTCCAGCACTTTTCTTTCCCATAATAAAGACCCTAGGGAGTCTCTTTGTAATGCCTGTCAATTAGGCAAACATTTTCGTCTACCATTCTTTTCTCAAAAATCTATTACTGTTGCTCCATTTCAAATTATTCATGCTGATTTATGGACTTCTCCTGTTTCTAGTCTTACGGGTTTCAAATATTATCTTGTGTTAGTTGATGATTTTACCCATTATTTATGGACTTTTCCTCTTCGAAATAAATCTGATGTTTTTACAACCTTTGCCAATTTTCATACACTTCTCAAAACTCAATTCCAACATCCCCTGAAAGCCTTACAAAGTGATAATGGTCGTGAATTAAAAAATGCGGATTTTCAAAACTACTTCACTAAACACGGCATCCTAAATCGTTTTTCGTGTCCCCACACCTCCCCTCAAAACGGACACGCATAACGAATGATCCGCACTATAACTAACATGATTCGATCCCTCATCTTTCAAGCTCATCTTCCTCCTACTTATTGGGTCGAAGCCCTTCATATGGCCACACACCTACTCAATATCTTACCTACCAAAACCACACAAAACCGGACTCCTCACGAATCTCTTTACCACATTAAACCTAGATACTCTCATCTTCGAGTATTTGGCTGTCTCTGTTATCCCAACCTCACCGCCACCACACCACATAAACTCGCCCCCCGTTCTACTCCTTGTGTCTATCTCGGTCACCCGTCCTCTCACAAAGGCTATCGTTGCCTTGATAGATCGACTGGCCGAATCATAATTTCTCATCATGTCAACTCCCCCAAAAAACACACTTCCTACCTCTGCCTTGGACGAAAACACACCCTCCCTGTTCCTCCTCCCTCAGACTTCGTCTAACTGTTGCAACAGTTCCTCCAACTGTTCCAACAGTGAACCACCCTGTCCCAACAGTTCGTTCAACAGTCCTATAACACAGCCAACACCTGTTTCACCTGCAGCACCACCTCTCGACCACGACCAGCTCACAACCCCTTCTCCTACTCCCACATCTCCTTCTCCTACTCCCACACCTCCCCCACCTCCCCCTGCTCACCCTATGGTGACTCGCAGTAAAATGGGCATCCACAAACCCAAAGTCCCTTTCTCTCTCGTTGCGTCCTCTACCTCTTCCATTCCCACCAACTATCGTCAAGCTCTTCTTGACCAAAATTGGCGAAACGCCATGATTGAGGAATATACTGCTTTAATTAAAAACAATACTTGGAATGTTGTGCCCCGCCCCCCGTTCACTAATGTTATTTCTGGTAAGTGGATATACAAACAGAAACTCAAGTCTGATGGCTCCCTTGAGCGATACAAAGCACGGTGGGTTGTTCGTGGGTTTCACCAGCAGGCTGGCATCGATTTTGACGAGACTTTTAGCCCAGTTGTCAAACCAGCCACTGTTCGAACAGTTCTCAGTATTGCTCTCTCGCGATCATGGCCAATCCACCAGCTTGATGTGAAAAATGCCTTCTTACATGGAAATCACTCTGAAACTGTCTACTGCGAGCAACCTCCCGGATTCGTCGATCCATCTCGCCCCACTCACGTGTGTCGTCTCAACAAAGCACTCTACGGTCTCAAGCAGACACCACGTGCTTGGTACAAGCGTTTTGCATCTCACATTACTACCATGGGGTTCAGAGAATGCAAGTCCGACACTTCACTCTTTGTGTACTGTCGCAACAGTTCACGCGACTGTTGCAACAGTTCACGCGACTGTCGCAACAGTTCATGCGCCTACCTTCTGCTGTATGTCGATGACATTGTACTTACGGCCTCCACACCTGAATTGCTCCGCTCTATCATCGCTGCCCTCAATCAAGAGTTCACAATAAAGGATCTTGGCGACCTTCACTACTTTCTCGGCATCTCAGTTACTCGCTCGTCGAAGGGGCTATTTCTCTCTCAACGCAAGTACGCCGACGAGATACTAGAGCGTGCACACATGGCTTCCTGCAACCCTTGTCTTACGCTGGCTGACACAAAGAGCAAGTTGTCTTCGACCACTGGACCCCCCGTTGCTGACCCTACTCTTTATCGCAGCCTTGCCGGTGCACTGCAATACCTAACGTTCACTCGTCCCGACATCTGCTATGCTGTTCCACAAATATGTCTATTCATGCATGATCCGAGGGAACCTCATATGGCTGCTCTCAAGCGTATCCTTCGCTACATTCGTGGCACTCTCGATCACGGCCTTCAGCTCTCCCCCAATCCGGACCTCTCCCTTATCGCTTACTCCAACGCCGATTGGGGTGGCTGCCCTGACACTCGTCGTTCGACATCGGGCTATTGTGTTTTCCTCGGCAACAACCTCATCTCTTGGTCCTCCAAACGACAGGTCACTACTTCTCGATCGAGTGCGGAGGCTGAATATCGAGCTGTCGCAAATGCCGTCGCCGAAACGACTTGGTTACGCAACCTACTCTCTGAGTTGCTCTGCCCACTTTCGAAAGTCACTATTGTCTACTGTGACAACGTCAGTGCCGTCTACCTATCCAGCAATCCTATTCAACACTCTCGTACGAAACATGTGGAGATCGATATCCACTTTGTCCGAGACAAAGTTGCTTTGGGACACGTTCGAGTTCTTCACGTCCCATCCGCCTACCAGTTTGCCGATATCTTCACGAAAGGACTCCCTACTCAACTGTTCCAACTGTTTGTCTTCAGTCTCCACGTCCTTTCCTTTCCCGTTTCGACTGCGGGGGTGTATTAGCGTATATATCGTATATTATTATTATTCTTATTTATTCTAGTTACCTTGTATAATAGGTTACCTTGTGTAGTAGGTTAGGGTTTCCTACATGTAACTATATATATGATTAATATACGTGAGAGATATTCATTCTCTCTTTTCTCCAAATCTGTTTCTCCTATAATAATAATACATTCAAGACAATGAGAAAACATAGTCTACGACGTCAGCCACAATTTATTTTTTATTTTTTTTATTTTTTTTTAATTTTTTTTATTTTTTAATTTTTTTTAACAATTATTTAAACTGGGAGGGGTGATTTTTTTGTAATTTTCAGACTTAGGTCAAACAATGTTAAGGTCAAGGGTCTGAAAACTAACGACGAGAGCCACATTGAGACATTTTTTTCCATGTACAAGGTCAAATCGATGCAATCAAAAGTAGAAGGAGGTAAAGTGATATCGAGCCAAAGTACAAGGTGGAAAGTGGAATCTACCCTATTTATATACCACATACTCGAAGTTCGGATCAATCTCTATGAGCTTGCTCATTTTCTTTGTTTTCATAGGACTTCGTAGTTTGATATTTTTAACCACATATGACTAATTAGAATTGATTGGTCACATATAATAAGTATTTCCACCCTTTATAAAATAAGGTATTCAGTGTTGAACAACACATGCAAGTTTTTGTTTTTTAGCACGACACAGCCAAGGTTTGAGATTGGAGGGAAATAATAAAAAAAAAAGGGTAAATTACAAACACCCCTGAGGTATGGTCAAATTACAAAAAACCCTTCTTGTTTGGATAATTACATCTACCCCTCAACTATGATTTTTTCTTACACCTCCACCCTTATGGTGCCAAATTCAACATAATCATCTAGATTCGGTGGAATGTGCTTTAGTTTGTACTAGTTTTGTGTAAAAATACAGTTTCCGATGCACCACAAACTGATATATTCAAGCTAAAAAACATATATTATGATCATCTTGTTTCATAATGTAGAGTTCGAATGGGATAAAACGGGTACACAAGTGATAATATTCCATATAATCTCGAAGATTCCACTAAATTTGAGGAGTTGAGGGGGTCGTTGTAATTATCCAAACAAGAGGGGTGTTTTTGTAATTTGACCATACCTCAGGGGGTGTTTGTAATTTACCCTAAAAAAGAAAAAAGAAAAAATAAAAGGTATTCAATATTCAATATAGAGCACATCAAGTGTTTTACCGATCAACACATTAACATTACAAGGCACTTAAAAAAATTTGACACCGGTTGTTGGTGGTCAAATGATCAAATATTGAAATTGGAGTGAAATATAGAAGAATAATTTAGGAAAAACATAAACTTAGAAATAGCCTCATAGGAAAAACCATATCGTTTGAATAACCTCTTTGTTTATTCAAATTAGGGAGGGCTATTGAATACATGGAACAACATACTCTCCATACTGTCTTATCTAGAGCTGAGATCGGGATTTGGTGGAATTGGGTATAGATCAAGTTGCTGTTGCTGCTCACCTTTTAATCCCATGTTTCTATCAGTGTCTTCTTGTTTGAGGAAATGCATATTGTATTTTTTCAAGCTCTCCAATTCCATTGTCTGTTCTTTAATAGTTGGCCTATATACGCCTTTCACCTCGAGACATCTTTTAACAAACCTCACCTATTGAAATGATTTGTTACAAACCCCATTCTCTTATAATCCGTGGTTCAATAATTTGGAACAACCGATTTTCCTTCACGCACTCTACAAAGTAAGTGGCCAGGTTAATCTCTTCTTCACTCTTCTCAGTTCAGTAGACACAAGTTTTCTACCTATCAGGAGCTTAGTCAACACCACCCCGAAGCTATATACATCACTTTTCTCTGTCAGTTGGCTTGTACGGAAATACTCATGATCGAGATAACCAAAGGTTCCTGGTACATGAGTGGTCACTCGTGTTCGATCAATAGGAATCAGTCTCGAAGCTCCAAAATCTGCTATTTTTGTTGTGTAAAGTTCATCCAATAATATAGTGGGAGATTTAACATCTCTATGGATAATCGGCATTCCTGCTGAAGAATGAAGATAAGCAAGTGCACCTGCAGTCTCTGTGACAATCCTTAGCAGATTATGCCAAGAAAACAAGGGCATTCCCGACTGTTGTGGATATGATAATATAAGGTATTGTTTGAGATATATTCATATACTAACAATGGTACTTCACTTTCCAAACAACATCCAATTAGTTTTACCATATTCCTATGGTTAACGTGAGTTAAAATAACCACCTCATTTATGAATATCTCTACTTGGCTCTCATCCAATTTTATGGATTTCTTTATTGCAGCAACGTGTTCATCGCTCAAATACCCTTTGTATACTGTTCCGTAACCTCCTCGACCGAGGATGCGGTCTTCTGAATAATTATCGGTGGCCTTCTCAAGCACTTCACCTGCAAATATTTTGACTGATTGCATACCACCCTTTTCAGCAAAAAGTTGCTGCTTGAGTAACAAACCACCACTTTGTTGGAAAAATTTCTCTCTTAGTTTCATGAGTCTCCTCTTCTTGATGTTAAGTGTATCCATGTGATGTCGATTATCACAGTCACGAAACCTAAACCAATACCTGAAAATTCAAATTTTGAAATTCTAATATTCGATCTTTGACCTCATCCAACATATTTAAATAAAATTAAAGGATAGAAATATTGAATTTCATCATTCACAAGTACCTAATGACAACTATAGCACTAAGATGGGCCTTTTATGTTTAGAGAAGCCAATGCCATCTTTGGTCCCATCACCAGTGAAGCCATGAGGACACAAACAATTATAGCTACCATGAGAATTAGTGCATATGACCTTTGGTACACATAGACTATTCTCACATTCGTTTGTGTCTGAATTTAGAAACGAACGTCATAATAATCCACTTATCAAAACAAAAAATTAACTTAGTACGTGTGATGTAAAAAGCCAAAAAGTAAACTAGTCTGCGCAGCCCTGTTCCAAATACGGATTGCCCTCATATTCCTGGAAGCATATGCAGTTATAACCATTAACACTGGTGGTGGAGTCAATGCAATTACTGTTCTTGTGACATGCCAAATCATTGAATTTCCGAGCTTCAACACAAGTTTCATTCTGAATCACCCAATCGAGGACTACAGGGACATTTTCAATGATTTGTTCTTTAAAAGTGGCATTATCGAGGTCAGAGGAATGAAATGTGTATCTACCTTGCTCTGCAAGAAAGGCATAACCACAAGGGTTAAAGGATCACACTTTAGTGTGTTTATTAATGTTGCCTAGAGAAGCAGAAAAATCATTGCAATAACCATCAAGAACCTGCTCTCTTGAGGAACAAGTGGAAACGCACGCATCGGTCGAATTAGCACCCTCTACTCCGAATTGTAGGGCATATTCATCAAATCCGACAACTGTTAACTTATTTGCATCAGATATACTATAATGTGGATCTAACTGAGCGTCGCTGACTATTTTTTTCCTGGTCACTTTGCCTATTTTGTTGTAACAGGTGGCACCTATCCGGTTCTTGAACCTTAGTTGTGAATCTATTATATCAGTAACTTCAATACCAAATGTTCCACTAAAGGGCTTTGGAGGGTTGAAAGAATTATTGCAGTAGATATCAAAGTAAGGGTGAATAGAACACCATGAGTCAATTCCAATGCCGAATGGATAATGAACCGTTAAATTCCCACACTTGCTTTCGCAACCTGGCTTTGTTACGTTGACGCCTTTTGTGATAGTTGATGGAGGATCTTTGTGTTGGTTTGATTGGAAACATCCACTGCATATTCGACCGATACGAGATGGAAGAGAAGAGAGAATATAAGAATGTTTGTTACCAGATATTTTTTTGTGTTATGAATGCATTAAAAATATTGTTGGTTGTTGATGATTTTGAACTTAGCTAATGTGCAACCACAACAATGATTGTCTTCCTACTTGGCACCAATGTAATTAAATATAACTTGCAATAGCTGCAAATTGAAATATAATATTAGAGGAGTTTGTAAGATTAACATGATTGTATTGTTGAAGCAAGTTGCATTTATAATATGAGTATACAATTTGCAGAATTTTAACTAAATGGTAACCCCTCACGTCCTGCAAGATTGTCAACCGTCTATATGTTTATGTTCTCATCAATACTCTTGGTTGTCAGCTTACATCTCTAAATATTTAATACGACTCGACTCGCAAGCCTTTTTTTAATATATTATTTTTTTTATTTAAACAATATAAAACAATATATATAAAAATTAAAAGGATAAGCTAACACTTTTAATGATTCCAAAACCTTATAATAAAAGGTGAGGTATTGGCAGGATACCTTTAATAGGAGATCACCTACGCAACTGTATGAAGTGAGGGCCGCTTCAAAAACTTGACAAACACTTATGAATCCAAGATGTGTGTCCATGGACAAAACGGACACAATCATGAGAACTAAGGAAATGTGAGAATAGTATTGTGTGGGTTGCATTGTCTTGGTTTACACGAACGGTTGGCAGTTCAAGACATCGCGTTCACTACTCAGCCTAGTAAATCCGATGTAACTCCACTACGGAAGGTTCAAAGCTATATGCTACCTATCCCGATGCAATACTATTCGTGGGAACTCTAGAGAGAATCGACGCCCTCGTTTTCATTCATGTGGGGGATTGTTGGGAAAATTGGTTAAAAATTCAGTCATGAACAATTTTTTATCAATGTTATTATATGGTCTAATTGATTATATAAATCAATTTTTGGATTAGATTAATATAAAACCAATTTTGTGGTGAATGAAAAATTACTAGTCCAAAATATATGGAAAGTGGGATTTTGAGTTATCCCACATTGGAAAAGTAGAGAAGTACTGAGCTGTATATTTATCAAAATGTTGGGACAAAGGGTTACGCCCTTTGGGCATTCAACTTTGTTTGGGAGAAAGACCTATATGTTATGTGTTTCAAATCATGCGCGCGCGCCGTCTGACCGGCCGGCTCGGCTCGTACGTATCGGATCGGATTTGGATTTGGGCCCAAATCACTACATTATTTTTTTGGGCCAAAAACATTAAGTCATGGGCCGTCAACCCATTGGGCCCTTCTTACTCGAAGCCCATCTCGAATGGTCTGACTGGTTTGAATTGGTGCGGCCGAACCAATGCAAACAATTCGGCTCAACTCGAAATGGTGCAACCACTCCCAAACGGCTCAACTCGAAATGGTGCAACCATTCAGCCAAAATGTACCTTTTTGCTCCAAATGACACTACTTTTCGAACCTTATAAATAGACCATGTTTTCCCAGAATTCCTCACTTCAATCCAAAATCTGCCTACTGCATATTAAGCCTACCCTTCACAGATTCTCTCGAAAAGTTCTACAAAAAGTACAGTTCGTCGTACTTGGGATTTGGAGTGCTCCTATTCCAAGTCTTGCCGTTGTATCTTGGGAGACGATTTCCATTCAAGCCGTTAGCACCGTTGCGGGAAAATTTCGTCTTAAGGACAGAGTCAACTCGCCTCGGCAAATATTCGTTCATAGCAGATCCATTTCCAACAGTACTATATAATGATTTCTATGAAGCCTTGAGGCTCAAATTGAGTACGTAATTTTAAGGAATAAAATTCTAATTTTGAGATTATATATAATATGTACTTGAAAGGACTGTTCCTTTGTAATTCAATGATTTGAGATATATCACACAATTCATAATTATTTTTGATAGCTCAAGAAGAAATGTAACTATGAGCGTTGGATATTGAAGTTAAAGATCGATTTATGTCCCATGATATCACAAAATATTTGTGTTATTGTTATGTGCCTTGAGGACACAAGTCAAATATTTCATAATGAAAACGTTTCTAGAAGACACCGAGCAAAATATTGTTGTTTCATTTTTCAAGAAACGAGTACTTAATTTGGGGTATGTGTCTTGAACACATAAGTAAAAGTAGCATTACATCTAGGTACTTATGAAGAAGAACAGAGATAGATATTTGATCCTCTCTATAAGTTGCTCTCTTTAAATCTTGACTTGTTGTTTTGCAAACGACAAGTAAAATATTTCATATTGATATATGTGTCTTGAAGATACATATAATGAAGAATTGTAAGAGAAAATATTCTCTAATATATGGATCTATATTATGATCATGAAGTGACAACATAAAAACTCAAGTTCCACACGTAATAGCAAAATAAAGATTTTTAATAGCATATCGTACTATAATACGAGTTGTGAGCTAATACAAAACTCGTTCAATTGCTGTTATTCTTTGAAAGTGAAAACAACAATATTAAAAAATTCAAAGAGATATGTTGACATGAAAAGCTATCATGGTGCTAAAGCTTATTTACTATAAATTTTATCTCATCATTACAAGTAGAACAGAGATGAGAAATATGAAAAATGATTGGTCATATCCATTTTATGATAAAGCATGTTGATAAGCTTTATCAAGCACCAATAGAAGAGCAAAAGAAATTGCGTTGATTTTGGAGTCACGATATTGACCAATTCAATTAAAGTTGTAAATTTCATTCCAAATACATATCTATGGAGGTATGTATACGATTTTTTTATAACTGGTCTAGATGAGATGAGATGAAATTTCAAACCAAAAGAAAAAAAGGGGATCTGATTTTCTTGTTAAAATTCCAAACTCTCTGCATATTCTGATTTTTCGAAATTTATAGTTTACTCCTTCAAAACTTTCAAAAATTTCATTTTAGTCCCCGGATTTGAAAATTTTACGATTCAGTCCAAATATTTTTCAGAATATGCAGCTCGTTCCTTTCATCATCCGCAATTATGAATCGATTTCAAAATTTTCAGTTAACACTGAAGTTTTTAAAATTGCAGACTTGTTCCTGAAGTTTTAAAAATTTACAGTTTGGTCCCTAAATTTTCAAAATTTACAGTTTGGTCCCTGATTTTTTAAAGTTTTGAAATTTGACCATTTATGTTCAGAATCTGTTAGATTCTCAAACGAAGTTATATTCAGCCACATACCATGATATCATGTGGTTTGTTTATTATTTATGATATGCAATATTTTGCACCCCTAATGGGAGATATTTCTATGGCATACATTGTCAATTGTCATTTTAATGAGACAATTTTCCCGCCGTTAAGGGGGAGATAAGAAGCCGGTTCTTGTATTACGGCGTGAATTATATCAAATGATATTTGTCTCATCTACATTTGTGCATGGAAATATTTAAGCACAAAAGAAAAAAGAAAAAAAAGAATTCATTTGCAACAATTTTAATGTGTAAAAATGCTAGATGCATTTATCGACAAAATGACAACTTGAAATTATTACATATGTTGCAAATGAGTGCAAGAGGAAATGACCAAGAATGACACATTGCACATTAGATTTTGCCATGAAAGGCTTATAAACGAATGTCCTCGAAGGACAAATTTCACATTGTGATTGCATCGCGAGTCCCTAAATGGGTGAAAAATGATTATGGTACACAACTAACCAATTGTATGATGATGAAATTTCTTGTTTTGTTGTGATAAGGATTAGATGTTTGTTTAGCTTTCGATTCAACGGAACTTAGAAGCGAATTATTTCTAGGAATCACACTTTGTGCATTGCTTTGGTTGAATGTTTTGTATTTTAAATTTTGAATTAATTTGTGCTAGATCATGCTATGTTCGGTTTTAAAACTCAACTTAGGAAATTTATGATACAAAGTATTGAGTAGTGAGTGATTTGGGATATGATTTGGGCCTTCTTTGAACCGTTTGAGCCTTTCAAGCCGACATTTTTATCGAAATTATCCTTAGAACCTTGATTTGAGCCTCGGAGAAAAGGTGTTCTTTCTTTTAGCTAATGTGTATAAGGTAGAAAAGTGGAGATTTTTGAAAAATTACCCCTTGGAGTTCGGTTGAAATTTTTTATAAGGTCTCTCTTCTTCTTAAAAAAAAAAAAGACTAAGAAGTATATAAGCTTCTATATATATTTAAAAAAAAAAAAAAAAAAAAAAAAAAGAAGAAGAGACTAGAAGGGAGAAGAAAGGACTAGTTGTTGAAATTATTTTTGAAACCTCGATCCATTGCCTCAAAAGCAAAAGTGGAGACTTTTGAACTTTTGAGAATCAAGTTTATTAAAGTCCTTAGAGGTGAATTCATTGTTTCAAACGCCTATCTTTCAAATTTTGGTGTAATCACCTCAATTCAAGAATAATAGCCACATATGCCCATATTTCCTACCTCGAACCAAAGAGCCTAACAATTGACAGCCAAAAGCCCCAATGATCCCAATAGCTTAATGTTCAATATTAGTAGAGTAGAATGATTTGGTGAGTATTTGGTGTCAAACATATGCATGTAAGTATAAATTTATTTCTATCTTTAATTTGCAAATATTGGATGCTTGAAGCAATTGTATGAATTGTGGTTTTTGGTAATGGTGAGTGACTAAGTGTTGTTGAATTATGAGCTTGCGAATGCCTAAGAATTTTCATTATAATTACAAGTTCTGAAAACATGAAGTTGATAATGGATCTATGTAATGAGATGTAGTAGTTGAGTTATTTGCTTATTGGTAGATTTTGCTTGAGGACAAGCAAAAGTTCAAGTTTGAGGGTGTGTTAAGTGTATATTTTTACACTTTATCGTATCTTTTTATCTGAGCTTTTAGTGTGTTTTAATGATCATTGGTGCTTAAAAAGTTGATTTATTGTATTTTAGGTACAAATTGAAGAATTGGAAAAGTATGGGGTCAAAACTGCAATTTTGGAGAAAATATGGGCCAAAAGTGAAAAAATCAAAAATCTGAAGAAATTAGGCCGGGACGGCCGTCCCTGATTTACACTTAAAACTGGGACGGCCGTCTGAGAAGCAGAAACAACCTCTGGTTTTGGGACGGCCGTCCGAGTTTTAGTACCAAATTCGGGACGGCCGTCCGAGATGACGAAAAGGCGCAGTAAAGGAATCCTAATTGGACAAGGAAACTACCTTCTTCTCCATATTTTCCACCCTACATAAGACCAAGACAAGCACACATTTGGGGATCCATCTTTTACACAATTTCAAGAGCAACAAAGCAATAACGAAGACGAAGAATTCGAAGACTCTAAGCATAGATTTATCGTTTATGACTTATTTTATTTGCGTTTTTCCTTTAATCATGAGTAGCTAATTTTCTTATTTCTAGGATTTTATTTTGAACCCTATGTGGGATTTATGAACCCTTTTCTATGATTTTATGCAAGTTTTAATTCCGGATTATTTCTTCTACTTGTTTTATTAAGTGCATGAACTTGATCACCTTATGTGCTTTTATGTTATTCTTAATCGCATGAATCGGAAGATCGGGTTAATAATTAGGACTGTGGTAGAAGAGCCTTTGTGGTATTAACATAGGAATATAGTTAATCTCTTAGGTAGCCATTACACAAAGGCTACAATCCCCATATAATTCTCTAAAGAGAATCCGGTACCGGAAAGTGAAATAGTGAGCTCTTAATTGATTATAAATAAATATGGGAGTACTAAAAATGTTATCGAATAACTATATGTGCAGTTATTTTTCTAATGTGAAGAGCCTGAAGCTCATACATTTTGATAGATGTCGACATCTAATTGGTCATTAGTATATGCATTCACAAATGCAATTGACCATGATTATTTGAAATTATTGATGAAATGAATTGTACATTGACTTCCGGTCATCACACATAAAGTTGTGAAAGCCTTTAGTACAAAACTGGGTAATATCATTGCGGTAAATTTGAATGCCTTTGAAAATATATTTTTATGATGCAATCACTTTATGATGGTATTCAAAATACTTGACATGCATCATATGGATGCAATTACCGCATATCTATATGGATCATAAAATTAATGAAGAATTGATAATGCATTGTGCATATAATCAGAGGTCTCGTGAGTTAGACTCTAGAAATGATCAATTTACATATTATCTTCAAAATATGGTACATTCACCTCAGTGAATACCTTGTTAATGATCAAATAATTTGACTTACCATTATCATGGTATAGATGTGAATGATCTAAATCTTGTGGAGACTCATGAAGAGCTCACAAATACGGTCAATTATTTGATGACATAATTTGAGATGAAAAATCTTGGAAGGGCAAAATTTATCTGGGAAAGAAGATCTATTAAATGGAATCTTTATCCATTAATACACATAAGAGATGGATAAGACTCATTCAATTGAGTGGTATTATGTTTGTCCAATCACTGAATATAGTTAAAAGATCTTTTAAGCCCTCGAGAAGATAAAGAATGAACTGCAAGTTCCAAAAGTGTAAAATGTGTACTACACTATCTTTATGGTAAATCTGGTGGATCTTAAAGAGGATATATAGTTGGCTATATCAAAATCAAAGAATGAATTCATATATCGGAGTTTTGCCAACATTGGGAAGATGATTAAAAGTCATATGTCTAAATCAGGGGGAGCGTGATCAGTAACGGCAACACTGTACTCTTTTTCCTTCGTCCAAGTTTTTGTCCCATAAGGTTTTTCTTGGCAAGGTTTTAACGAGGCAGTGTCAAGCTAACAAGCTTCAGATGGATATGTACTATTTTTCCTTCGTTTTTTGTCCCATCGGGTTTTCCTAACAAGGTTTTAACGAGGCATATTCCATAAATGGTGGACATCCAAGGGGGAGTATTATGAATTCTTGGAGGTTATGGATGACCACCATTACACTCTCCATTAAACCCACATTACCTCCACCATTATTCATCATTACGGTCTTGTAACTAATGACCTTTGACTAGCTTTTCTACATCTATAAATTAGGTGCAATGTATTGTATTTTGTACACTTGAAGATATGGAATAACATATTACATCTTCTCCCTACTTTATTTTCTACTTCTTGTATATGGTTTATTAGTTTCTCAACAATTATTACTATTACCATTATTATTACTATTACTTTTTTTTTGAATCGTTATTATTACTATTACTATTACCCCCTTGTTTTTTTTGTGATTAATCACCCAATATGGATGGGGTTGGTGACATATGCGCTTGGTGTAATATAAAAAAAGGGGAAATTTGCTAGACACCCCTTATTTTGAACTTATATAGGTAGAGATCCTAATTGCTAGATGAATATAAGCATAGGTCCTTTGACCCCAAAAAATAATATAAATAAAATAAAATAATTAGTATATAGACATAAACACCCTTAATTAATAAGAAAACAAATTTGATTTGTTCTCTCTCCAATCTCACGTTTCTCTCACCCTATATTTAATCACTCATCTCTCTTCCTCAGTATCTAATTTCACGCCTCTCTCTCCCCCCCCCCCCCCCCTCATCGTGTATATCAGATCGGTGGCGGAAATCACAAAACTAATCATCTCCTGCATTAGGTCGGCGGCTAAGGCTAGCGGGATTGTGATGAAATCTTCGGCGGCAAAAACCACCTGAACTTCTTCCACCAAGTTGATTTTCCATGGGCGATCTTCTTCCACTGCAAAGCCACAATGTTTCTCGGTAAGACGTTCCTCTATTCCGACAACGACGAGATGGTGTGATCTAGATATCCACGAATTAGGTGGTACAATGCGGTTGGTGGCTCTAGGGTTTGGTATTGGTCGTTATCTAAGTTTTGGTGGCATCGATGGTTTTGACACGGCGATGCCAGGATTTGGTATTGGTTGCAGCATCCTATTATATCTTATTTTATATACTAAACTAGGGATAAACTCAAACAAAATCATCATTTGACATACCCCCATGGAGAAGTGAAAGTACTTTACTACCCTTATATGCAATTTTCGGTCAAACTGCATTCAACATTTGTGGCCCTGCATTTAGAATTTTTGCTGATTTGTTTATTATTATTTTTCTCATTTTTTTTATAAATGTTTTTCTAATTTTTTTTAAATCAATATGTTTACTATACTGAAAATTACTACATGTAACAAAAGTAAACTATAATCATTCGTAGTTTTGTTCTTTTTTTACCCCATATTTTTAGTCGATCAATTATGTACACACACGAATACTGGCTTATACAAAAGTAATTCATAAACTCCAACAACAAAAATTTACTAATTTCAATATTTATATTATAAATCACCTTAGAACTAATAAACTACAAATCGAAAAAACACAAATATATGCATATGTAACTACATGTTATTGTAGTCAACTGTAATGAAAATAACAACATGTAACTGTAGTAAACTATAGTCATTCGTAGTTATGTTTTTTTTTTCATCCATATTTTTAGTCGATCAATTATGTACACACACGAATACTAGCTTATACAAAAGAAATTCATAAACTCCAACAATAAAGGTTAACAAATTTCAATATTTATATTATAAATCACCTCAAAAAAATAAAATACAAATTGAATATACACAAATATATGCATATGTAACTACATGTTACTATATGTAACTAGTAATGTATAGTAATATATAGTAATGTACAGTTATGTATACAGTCTGTTGAACACTATAACTTGAAGCAGATGTAACTTCAACCAAATGTTTTGTCACCTTGAAGGAGAGGATCAATGGCTTTCATTAAGCTGCAATAGCAAAACCAAAACAAAAAAAAATATTTTAGTGCAAATCAACAAAATTTGAAGAAACATCAAAACACTAAAAAATCAACAAGCACTACGAGATTGAGAGATAGAGAGAGAAGCCATAGCTGCGAAATGTTACGAATTTCAGACCAAACCGCCAATGACTCCTCACCTCAACCGCCTCCTACAGAAACCCTAGTTGTCGCTAACCACCCAAGGTTCCGCGCTTACAAATGAAAAAAATTATAGACATAAATCTGAAAATAAGAAAATGAAAGAAATTTCCGTCAAAATATAGATCTCGACGAGAGGAATCCAACGGTGGGTAGCTCGTCAAATTCCGATTGACGGAACACAAATTACACCTCCGGCAAGACTCACCGTCGTCGAAATACGCACTGACTGTAAAACGACTGCAGAAACAGATCGAGTGCTCCAAAATTAATGTAATTACCACAAAAAGAAAGAGCCCGAAGAGAGAAATCCAACGGTAGTTAAACTATCGAATTCCGACCACCAGAGAGAGAGTTATGACTCCGGGAAGCAACTTTGCCGGTTGAAGATCTATGGGGGTGGGATTTGAATCTGACAGTTGAGAGAGGAAGAGAGAGACGATTGTGAGTGGCTAGAGTTTAAAACTAATTTTAAAAGGGCATTTTAGGTACTTCAGGGTGGGGCAGGGCGGTCTGTCAAATTATTTTCAAAATGGAGGCGGTATGCACCAGAATGTAATTAGCTTGGGTTAGTTATATATAATTTCCGTATGAGGGGTCTCTAAAATATATATATATATATATATATATATATATATATATATATATATATATATATATATATATATATATATATATATATATATATATATATATATATATATATATATATATATATATATATATATATACATATATATATATATATATATATTCATATTTATACATATACATATTGGCATGTGAAGCCCAGGAGTCAATGAAAATTCGCAAAAGGTTATAGATTAGCCGGTTCTAATTTTATTAACATGCTTTGTTTAGATTCGTTTAAAGCGGAATAAATCTAATCTAGCGACTTACCAATTTTCGCGAACAGATTCGTTTCTATTTTCGGTGCACAATCGAGGATCCACGTCAAGCCTTTAATCCTCGAAAAACTGTTGTCCATAAATTTCTAGCCCTCTTCCTTCACTGATATCTCCGAGATGGTTGATCTGATGGAAAAATACGTCAGACGAATTATAGTGCTATGGGTTAAGAGCTAATGTAAAAATTTCAATCTTTTTCGATGAACGGTTGATTTATGGTGAATTTCCTTGCAGGGCTGCTCAGAAAATTCGGGAATTATAATTTGCTCTAAAAGCCTATAATCTTCTATAGAATATCCCGGGTTAATAATTCTTCTACAAGATTAGACTTGTACTTGAAGAAATCTAATCCTATAATTGAGAAACTTAGAGAGAACGAAGAAGAGAAAAATATTTTCTCTCCAACGTGAAATAGGCGTGTAGCATCAAAAATCCTCTCCCATCAACCTAATTTCTATTATATGTAGCACAAGGAATTAGAGTCACACCTGAAAAGGATTACATGGAAACAAATCCCACTCCTTCTATAACTCCTTATAGTCGAAAATTGCAGTCCAATGGGGACTTAATTTCGGCTATATTAATTCCAATATATAATATTGGTTGAACTTTATTTTCTCGATTAATTACAAAATCCATTGTGCTACAATAAGGACTAAAAGAGAAAATATAAATCAGGCAACTAATAATTAATTATATCGAAACTCTTAAAAAAATTAATTTAATTAATCATTAAATAATTGTTTATTTTCCACTACCAAATAATTATTGAACTCCCGTTTATATTCTCAAATATTACATTCGAGCTCCGGTCGATCATTACTTAGATTCTCCCCACATTAAGATATCTTATAACCACCAAATAATTTATTCACATCTAATAAATTAAGTAGTTTCTTTTCATGAGTCTTACCTGCTTAACTTATTTGAGTATGCCGGAAACAAACACTACAAAAAAACTCGTTTTGGGTGAGGATAAAATTCGTCACCAAAAGGGCTTTTTTTGTCACGAAAACGGTTGGTAACGACAATGTTCGTTACCGTTTGTTGTCCTCTAAAGCTCGACGCTAAAAGTTTTGGTGACAAGTTTCTGAATTTCGTTACTAATGTATTGGTAACAAACGTTGATTTTGTTACAAGATCTTAATTTATTGTAACAATTGTATTCTCACAAAAACTATTTGTCGTTGTTACAAGAAAAAAATCGTTACCA